GTTCAACCAAAAATAAATAAATAAATAAATAAAAGCTTTGTAAAGAAAATGAAACCATGCTTTTAACTTGTCATGTATTCGATTATATCCATCGATTGAGGGTAGGGTCGACGAGAATTAATCCATATTTTTATTACACAAATCAATTTCACCTTCAACTTTTGCATTTCTATCCATATTTTGTAATCACCCAAAAAGCAGTACTGTCTATCCATGAAATTACCAGTTAGCTAGGGTTTTAAGCTTGTCCGTTCTTGAGGTTATTATAGATGATGTAGCACCACACACCACCTAAAAGAAATGGTTTTAAAAAGGACTCAGACGGGTTGGAGTGAATATTTGAGTATAATATGTTTGCTCAAACGCTAGGAGATAAAGTATGGCTAATGGTGTTTCTCATTAGAAAAAAAAAAAGAATTTACAAGTACAATTAAAACTTCTAATTTAGAAGTTGTATTGCAAGAAATAATAGAGTTATAATAACAACTAGATGCCCGGGCATCCCCTCTACATTAATTTTGTGTTAATAGATAAATGAATTCTTGATTTGGAAAAAATAAAATAGCTACACATTTGTTTTTTTCTCTTTTTTAGCCAAAAATAAAAATAAAAATAAAAAAATCATCTGTAAAAGGAGAAAAAATATTAAAAAGTACAACGATGCAGAAATCAAACAAAAGAATGTGGAGTAATAAAGGGGATAAGTTTATGGGCAAATTTAAATGCTATCTTAATTTGATTGATAAATGATAAGTGTTAGGAGTTAAAATTGTGTAACTATTTTTGTAAAGTAGTTTTTGTTTCTCCGAATAAGAAGATTTTTTTTTTTAAAAAAAAAAAAGGATGGCACGTGGCAGAATGGTTAGTGCAATATGGTGCATTTGGAGTCAAAATTTTTTAATAAGAAGTTGTCACATCAACATCCTATATTCTGCTTTAATAGGGTAAAAGGGATTTAGAAATGATCAGTTTTCCAAACCAGTCTTATTTTCTTGATCATCTCATTTTCAGTTCAATGTATACTTTCATACTTCAAACATACTTCTATATTTTAATACAGATTTTTACTTTTGAAATACAAATGAAAATTAAAACAAAAAAAGCCCCAAAAAGCCATCTTCAAAGAGTCCGGATATACCTTACCTAACGAAAATCTTATATTATAAATATAAGTTGGTTATCGTTTTAATTTAAGCTCGATCGGGAGCGGATTATTATTAATTCTTTTACAAGTACTAGTGATTACATAGATCATTTCGGAGTACTTTTTTATCAACCCAAAATTGTTAGCCAATCACGAGAAGCTGATAAGTCGCATACCTAATTAAAACTTAATTATAAGCTTCTCAATAAATAAATAAATAAACAAAAAGCGCCATTGTTATACATGAAATATGCTTTCGCAATGTGGCAAATGTCATTTTATGATCAATATGATGGCTAAAGCACATACTTACATACCCCACGAGCTATTTGCTAAAGTAAGTTAACATAGATTAATGTGTGAAATTGAAGAGATCATAACAATATCATAAGGTTTGTTTGGAAATTGAGAAGTAAGAAAAAAAAATGGTGGGTGGAAGTGGGGTTTGGAGAGCAAACAAAAGTTTACATTTATCAAAAGAGTGATGAGAGAATGGAAAGGTGAGGAGCTTTTTCCTGCCAAAAGTCAAACAGCTCCTCTATCATCAATCACAATCATGATGCACTTCACATTTTTTTTTCCCAAAATTTTTCACTCTTTGATGACAATATAGAAAAATAGATATGCAAATGTAACCAAGATTCATCATCATTCAATCTAGATATTTGTTTTATTTTTTTATTTTTTTATTTTTGCTGACAATAAGAAACCCTAGAAATTGATATAAACAAGTCCTCCTGATCTTAAGAAACAAAATGGACTTGAAGTCTCATATTGGTTCAATCAAACATCCTACTTTGACTATTTTGGGGCGAAAACAGTTTACAGATCGATTAGTAATAAATTACACTGATTTATTGATACAACAATTTTGGAACAAAAAACTTTAAGGAAAAATCAGATATAACGAACTGCAAGGAAATTTTTCTTTTTTTTTTTTTCAAGCACCAACCCCAAAAGATTTTCTGGTTAAATTTAGTGGCCAAATAAGGGACTTTACTATTTTTTAAAAAAAATTGCACTTTCTCTTTTCAATTTATGTGACATCTGAACTTTTGAGAGAGGAGAGGGGGGGCACCTGAATTTTTCCCACTGGTTGCTATCATGTACATTTGTCTCATTATTTTGCACTCATCTGCTTTCACTTTTATCATTGGATCCATTTGAAGATTACAATTGAGTGCTTAAGATATCCAACATGCAATTTGTTTGTGGCAACATTTTCTCTTTTCTACACTCGGAAATTCTGTGTCAGAAAACACACAAAGAAACCATCCACATACAAATTACCACCTATGCCACAAATTAATGATATCCTCTATTTCTTTTTTCTTGTATCAATTTTGTCTAAACATTATTTCTACTATAAAATAATTGTCATGTTTGTTTTTTTAGTAGAGTGTATTATAAATCAATTACAAGCCTGGAACGAATAAAAGGCAATAAAAAATTCTTGAGTCTAGAATCTTGATATCACCAAAATGAAGTCATCTTGGTCATAAGAAATATGTGTACTATCACAGGTATTCGAATATTAACCCAATCTTAGGTAATTCCAATATTAATTCACGACGGGTAATTCCAATATATAATGCATATATATGTCCGTAGAATTAGTGGGGACTCAAAATCCAGTTAGTTGATTCCATAAGAGTTGCAGATCAAATTTCTGCTAATTTATTATGATATAATGTCAATTTGTCCATTAACTTCTTCACTTTGTATATACGTTTAAACTGTTTGATTTCCATATAGTAACATAATTTTACCACCAAAAAGAAGCCAGCATTAATACTAAGGCAGGTGAAGTGAAGGTGTGAGAGTGGTCGCTTAATTAACTTCATTCCTAAATTTGTTTCCCTAGATATTAAATTGACACTAATCCTTCAATTTTCAAAACAATTCAAGAGAAAACACATTGTGGAGAAGTCGTTTACTAGTTGTATGTCATCTATGATTATTGAATTGGATTTCAAGATTCTCTTCGAACCAATCATAGACATTATTGAAATAGGTGTAATTTTATCTCTGAAAAATAGTGTGTGTTTTGAATTATTTAATGGAAGTGGAAAATCATTACTGATTTCTCTGAAAAACACGGTTAAGGTTTTAGCAACATCTAACCCAATCGCTCAAGAACTATATAACTTGTCATACATTAAAATAAAACAATATTGTAACAAAAAGCTTTTACAAAGGACAATTTTTTGTATACACTCATTTTCTTTACTAATTAATGTTATCATCATGCGAAATACATTTGATAGGTTATACTCTCTTCGTCCAAAAATTATTATTCAGTTTGGATTTTCATTTTTAATTCAAATTGTACGAAAAGTGAAATTTCAAATTGTACAAAAATTTTGGGACAGATTGAGTAACTCTTTTAAGTGAAAGTCGACCAATCGTTCCTTGATTACTACTGGATACCACATTTTTCTGTTTGCTGCAAGCCCATTTATTTTATTACAACAAGCAACTCATGAGGGTGAAATTGTATCATTAATCTTTGGAGCATCGATCTTTCTATTTAGTCCCCTGATGTACGCTTTTTTCCAATAAATTAACCTATAATACTATAAGTAAACTTTTGACGTTTGCTTGCATCCCATTCTATTGAAGAAGTCGTAAAATAAGACGAACCAATTATAATTATTGTAATTTATAAAGGACCAAAAAATTATTGAAATTATTGAAACAAAAAATATATATAAACCAAAAAAAAAAATGTTTTCTTTATAGAAACAAAGTCATGAAATGAAGAGCAAGGCCGAACTATGAAAGTGTCATTTTACATTTTACCCCGACATTATAACTAAATCGGAGCCTCATAGTCATAGTTCATTCTCTAATTAATTTTAACTTTCAATGTGCTTACTCTACTAGTGTAATATATATATATATATATATATATATATATATATATATATGTAAAGGGCGGAAAAACACTTTTCTCGCATTTAGTTTATGATTTCCCTGGAAAAGTTTCTCCCTCGAAGATTGTATCATGAAATTGGTAGGAAACACTTTTTATAAACCACTGTTATAAATAAGTTTAGACTATTACATGGTGGATTATAATAAAGAAAAAGTCTACCTAAAATGCGGCCAAAATACCAAATTTGCCGTTACACCACTGCTGCTTTACTTGTATTAATGGGGAAAATACTTCATAAGTAGTGTATTCTCATAGAAGATATTAAAAAAAATTCACATTTGATAGATATGATGTAATCAAAATTTACGTACTTCATTTAATTATCAACAAAAATAATTCACATTATAATTTGTAAATTGTATTATATATGTACAATACAACTCACATGCGATGTGTATATTTTTCTAAAGCGGAGAAAGTACGAAACTCTAAAATGATCACACTAACCCCAATTTGATCGGGAGATTTCCTAAATTTCTCAACAATTATTTATTTACGTGACCATGTGTTCCAAATTGTGACACCGTCCTATTTTACTCTACACATATAGTTGAATCAATGGCTAACCCTAGCTGTCTCTTTCCGAAAGTTTTGATTCGAAAGTATGCTTGAAAAATACTTGAATTACATATTCAAAGGAATAACATCCTATGAGTACATCCTATATTCTGAAGTGAATGGCAATTAAATTATGTGTCAACCAACAGAAGAACAGAACCATTGCCATTTTCTTTGTTTAAACTTGATCAGCAACTTGCTGTTATAAGACATTGACTTCATTTCTTTCATTTTTCAAGTGAAAGCACAAAAGGTGGAAGAAAAAGTCTACCCTTTACTGTACATACAACAGTACTTCTTTCCCCCACCACTTTTTCCTTTTTACTACCGATAGTTTTTGTCTTCTTTCTGATGGCTCCTTTCACCTTCCATTTTTCCTCCTTGTTTGTAATATATAGAAGAGTTTAAGTAAAACATTCTCAATGAGATAAAGACACAGAATATTCAAGAAAATTGCCAAAAAGGAAGAAAAGTTTTTTCTTCTTCTTGTGGTTCTTGTTCTTCTTCAAAGTTCTAACCTAACCACTACATTTAAATCCTTTGATCTTATTCTACACAGAGTTTCCACAGATTTTTAACCATGTTGAATCAAAGTTTGTTTGAGGATCAAGATTTCTCATCCCAACTTGGATTCTTTTCTTTTCCTTCTTCCAATACTTTTTGCAGCTTAGCCTTTGGCAGCTGCAACAACAATGGTTCTCAAACTGCTCCAAAAACTCTTCTTCCAGATCATCATGCTGCTCAAGTAACACTTTCTGAATCTGCTAAGCTTAAAGAAGATGCGACGTCTCGTTACTTTGGTGAATCCCAACTCCTCTCTTTGCAAGGATCTCGTGCAAATCTCTGGTAAAAAAACCTATATATGATACTACTTCTTTGTGTCAGTTGCATCTTGTGTTGATTCATTTTTGCATGGATTTTTTTTAAGTATAATTTTGCTCAAATGACCGATCCCTTAAATTCATCCTCGATCCGCTTTTGTCTATTATCTTTAGTGATTGGAACAAAAGTATATGGAGCCATGAAATTTTAAGGGATTATTTCAGGGATTAGAAAAAAAGTGGGAAGAAAAATAAGAACTAGAGTAAGAACTGAACTTTTGGACTTAAAACAAGAGACTAAAAGCCTTAATATTCACTTTTATATTCTCCCTTCTATTTCAAAACATTATTCTGAATAAAACGTATTGACTATTTTTTTGAGACAGAAGGAGTAAATATTCTTCTGAGACTGAGAGAGAGGGGGTTATCAAGTTTTTTTTCTTCTGAAAAAATGTAAATATTTTTCTTAGACGACTTTGATAATAACTAGAATAATTTTCAGGGCTTGGGGAGAAGTGAATGACTGCATGATTACCAAGAAGAATATGATGAATGGAGGTGTAGAGAATAATAATTTTCTGGGAGTTGCATCCATAAAGATGAAGAAGATTAAGTCATCCAGGAGGAAAGTAAGAGAGCCCAGATTCTGCTTCAAGACATTGAGTGAAGTGGATGTGTTGGATGATGGTTATAAGTGGAGAAAATATGGACAGAAAGTTGTCAAAAACACACAGCATCCCAGGTTTGACAACATTCTCTTCTTCTTCTTCTTCTTCATTCTTCTTGTTCTGTCCTTTTTTGCCTACTTTTTTCTCCTAAAAATATAGAAGTAGAAGTTCCATTTTGTCTAAATGTATGGTTTCTGTTTGCTATACTATATCAGTTCAACATATTCGTACATGTCTTTTGGACAAAGGTAATAAATTTCATAAAAAAAGCTGTAGTGTAAATCAAAGTTTTCCACTGGAATATATATTGTGTCTGATTCTAATATGATATCTTTTGCTAGTACTTGTAACCTATCGGACTTTTAAAGATAGATTAGTAGTATTCTCTGCTAAAAAATCATTGCACTGATTAAAAAATTCTAACCTTGCAAAATGACACACAGTAAACTCCAACATAAGTCAACAGATTCTGGAAATAGTTAGAAAAAATGGGCTTCCCCATTATTCTTCTTCCTTTCCTTCCTTTTTTTTTTTTTTTTGCCTTCCCCTTTTTTCTTTTGTTTTTCGGCTAGCTCAGAATTTTTATGACCAAAGTTTCACAAATAATGTTCTGATCAGATCCATTCAAGTTCTGATGAAAATAACATTTACAATTATTATTGGTTAAAAAGTGGCATGTCCCAAGTCAATTGGGTGAGAAAAAAGACCAACATTTGTAACATTAGTAATTCAGTTTATTTGTAACGATTGCATGATTATAAAAGTGCTAAAACAGATGGTTATTTTGCAGTTTTTTTTCCAAGATTCCATGCAAACTATGATGAAATCAAAGATAGAAATTGTAAAAACCCTAGTTAAAAAATTGAACTGAAATCATTTCTTTACTATAATTGCTTCTTTACAATCTTGAATCTCGATCAATAACCAAGATTTCATTGAGATCCCTTACCATGATTTCACTTTAATTAGGCTCAAAAGTAAAACAACTTTTAGTAGTTTGATGATTACTACAAACATTAATTTTCTCCTCTTTTTAGGAGCTACAATGAAACTGCAATGTCATTTAGTACAATGCCCCAATGTGCATAGTGCTGTCCACAAGGTTTAAAAAAAAAAGAAAAGAAAAGAAAAGAGAGAAACAAATAGGAGCCCACACTCAAAGTTTAAAGCAACTCTATATGTGATGATGAATCCAGCAATTGCCAGTTTGCTACCATCGATCTGCTCCCACAATTTTTGCTCCATTGTTTTCCATTTCCCTTTTCCCCAATATCATTTTGGAATTTCTTTTATAGATCTTTTTACCTTGTACTAGGTAACAGGATAGAGTTAGATACATTGGCCTAGATCTTTTTACCTTGTACTAGGTAACAGGATAGAGTTAGATACATTGGCCTACCAACACATATGAAAGATCGAATTCCCAAATATATTACTCATTTCGTCACGAAAAAAAATAAAAAACATGTTTCCTGTAATAATTTCATTCAAAAAAATATGACTATATTTTGATAGAGTTGTCATTTGATATGTTTTTTTCCCTCTTCTCTTTTGGATTTATCTATATAAAATCAGGTACTCCGTCTTGTTTGTTATTTACAAGTGTTAGTCGTGTATTATGTGAAATACTTTATTTTATGTAAACTAGCTAGATACTGAAAATTCTGCCTATTTTGAGTTATGATGTAGTAGTAATTGATATCAATGTAGAAAACAAAGTAATTTTAATGGGACACAATAAGACACAATCAATATAAAGAGATCTCATCTCCATCATACTTTTGTCTCTAGCTTCAAAAAATCCAATATGGACGGCTCATGCCGTACGTGCATGGTTAACTTTTCCACCCGCTGAAATCTACTTCTTTTGGTATATTATTACTGGTAATAAGTACTTTTTCCATTGGCCCTTACATTTGTTTTGGAATTCCCATTGATTTCCAGAAGGGTTCTTTCTTTTCGTCTGTCAAATGTGAGTCTGGTGTAACTCGTAAGTAACCTAAAGAATTAAGATGGCAATTTCACTGTTTTTGGTCACAAATTGATATTTCTTTCGTAAAATATTCCACTTTCTTGAATTTGAAATAGTTTGATAAGAGAAGGGGATGAGATTTTTAATTCTTTACACTTGAAAGTTTGATTCTCATTACCAAATAGGAGAAACGCAATTTGAAAGCTAATGTCTATGGGAATGTTGGACATGTTTTTCAGGAGTTACTATCGTTGTACACAAGATAATTGTCGGGTGAAGAAGAGAGTTGAAAGATTAGCAGAAGATCCAAGAATGGTAATAACAACCTACGAGGGTAGACACGCACATTCTCCATCACTAGATGAAGATGAATCGCAGCCTAATAATTCCTCCCAAATCATGAATACTTTCTTCTGGTAGACAACAAATCACATTACTATACATCTCATATATGCATGGTGGTGATGCATGATATGCAATAAATTTTACTAATTTTCCTGAATTGTTATTTTTATCTCGATCACACAAGTTACGTCTCAAACTGAATGAATGTCCAAATAGAGTGTACAAAATCAGTGCATGCATGTGCAGTCACTTATTTTCTACACTTTATTTACATCATTGAGTTGTGATTTAAACTTTAACTAGGTAACTAGGAGGTTATAATTTGTCCAATTAGTAGAACTCTTGATGATTCATATAGATATTCAAGTGTCACGACTGGTGTGTCAAATGCCCTTGTTTTATTATGGCGTTTTGACCTAACAATATCACATAAGTAGCCAATTAATGTTGTATAATGCCAGTTTGTTGTTTGTTCCTTCGAATTGTAATGATTTCCACCTACGCTTTTCATTCACGTTCTTCTTGCTCTTTTGCTGCATATTTATATCTCTCTCTCAAACGAGAATCTGGAGAGAAAAATATCCCGGTATTATATTTTTCATCCTAAAAAAATAATTCATTTTGTTAAACTAAAACAGTTCAACAGAATGGATGTCTTAATTCGATCAATTCATAATTAAAGACAGTAATTCATTGTGTTGACTAGATTTAACCATCTAATCTAACAAGTTAACGTAGCCTTATTAGGGAAACGAATAAATTCTTGATGATTCTCTTACTGCTAAGTTAAAACATTAAATACATGGATCAATCTAAGTCGGTTCAGTGAAACAACGAAAATCATCCAGTATTGATCATAATTTGATTACAAACTCTTTAATTACTGAATCTCTAAAGTATTATACATTTACTTACATATCAATCTATTCTATATACTATACTAAGGCAAAAACCAGAGAGAGAAAACTAAAGGCATGGAACACATGCCACATAGGATTTAATCCTATGTGGCATTTTCTTAATTTTTTAGACTTTTAAAATGCACAAATAAAATAATAAAATCAAAAAAAAGAAACTAAAATAATTTTTTAAAAAAAAAACAAAATAATAAAAACGGAACCCTTATTTTCATGAACCAAATTCTAACACAGAGATTGATTGGAGAGAGTACCAAATCCTAACAAATTTTAGAGAGATCTGCATAAACCTTATCACCAGTGAATTTAAAATGTCATTTTAAAAAAAAACAAATTCCTGTAAATCCAGAGGTAATCATGTTTAAAATTGAAGTCATTACATATTTTATAAAAATACAAAATTTATATAAAAATGTCTAAATGTGTATGTCTTCCCCGTCTATCGGACGGGTCTAACACCTAGTTTGAACTATTGTCATACTTTTTTATTAGCCATTAACCGACCAATCTTAATTCTAATTACTCAGCTTAAAAGTATAATCTTTTATTTCTAAGCTATCTCTAAGCCCAAGATATATGAAAGATTAATTTAAATCTATAATTTTCCCATGGGAACATGAAAACAGATTAAAATCTACTAGTAAATAATTTATTCTTAAAAATTAAAATTAAATGACATGCATACTGTAAATTTAATTGTTAATAATTAGTTATAGAACCCAAGAATCACTTAATGTTATTCGTCCTTCCATTCTGGCCCAACTCCAAAGTTCACCTTCAGCCTAGATTAAAATGAAGGCCCATTATTATTTTCCTGCCATTTTTGGTCCACCCACAATTTTGTATGTGTCCAAAAATAAAGAGGCTCTACGTAAAACTACCTCGTCTTCTTTCATTATTTTTCATTTTGCCTCCTGCTTTCTTCCATCAAAATTCTAAGAGTATATCTATGGTTCTTGATGATCTCATGTCAAAACTTTCACTTTAACATTTTCTGGAATAAAACCGTTTCTTTTTTCTTAACAAAAAGTCTATGAAGTATCAATGGCAGTATAAAAAATGAAAGGGGAAAATAAAGAAGGAACTCACTATCCCCTTTCATTTTTTCTTCCTTTATATGAACTCAGTAGCCTCTTTATTTTGCTTTGTGATAGTAAAAAAAATATCGATCAAATTTGGGGAGTTAAATTTATCCTATTGAGTGTTGACCAAAAATATATAAGTTTCACTTCGATCATTTATTTTAAATAGAATGGAATAACTGGTTTTCTCCCCCCCCCCCAAAAAAAAAAAAAAACTGTGTAAGGTTTTTAGACTACATAAATCCACATAACTTTATGATTAATAATCGAACAATAATATTCAATAATGTACAATGTGAATAATAATAACTGTAACTTATACACTTTGTTCAAAAATTTTGAAATATTGAACCTCAAAAGCATTTCACCTTTCTTCTTCCAACTAACATAAGCGAAGAGCCCAAAAAATACAACTCTATGGAATTTCGAAAAGGTTAAAATGCATGGGCAGATCAATAGAGACAACAAATAACAATCATATATTTCTTGATATTTTTTCCCTTTTCCCTTAGTTTATTTTATTTTTTATTTTATTTTATTTTTGGTGATTTGTTTGTGGGGGTATAACAAGAAAAATGGGTATAATGGAGGAGGGAGCACAAAGGGACAGCAAATTAATAGGAGAAGGTGACATTGTAGGAGAGCCCCTCGGACCAAAAACAGTAAACTTTGTCCCACATGTGTTGTCCCATACTGCAAGACGCGTGTGTGAGTGAAGAAGATGGCTGAACTCCTATTTTTATAAATCGAGCATAAATTGCAAACTGCCCTCCTCAATTATCAGCCCGATAACGAAATAATCTCATAAAATTCTAATTTCATTAATCAACTACTTCCAAATCTTAATTGATGGGAATGTACTCCAGATTCAATCCATCCTTACAATCAACTATTTATCATTAAACCTCAAAGTCATGACATGTGAAGGTAAAACCTGATTCTAAAAATCATTAATTTTTTATAGACGGTAAGAAAAGGTAAAAAGATATTTGAAAAATCAGATAACATAAAAGTTTTCAATGAATTAGATCTAAATTATATTCTGTAACCAGTTAAAAGTTGTTTGGTAGTTGACTGTTATAACAAAAAACTTTGGGGGATATTTTGAAATCGGAATTTAGTTAATAGGGTTGCTTGCAATATGGTCATGTGAAAAATACAAACGCAATTTGCAAACATATGTTTGTTTCAGCCACAATCGATTACGTCTTTCATAACCAAATTGTGCCATTCTACAAAACTCTATTTGTCCCCATGCATGCACTCTTGTCACTCAAAATGGCCTCTTCTTCTTCATCTTCTTCCGTCTCTATTCAAAGTTTCGTACCCGCAAAAGAGAGAGAGATACATTCCATCTTTTAAATTGTGACGTGAGACTGAGTACTGATATTAGACCGTGTGATTACTACTTGTGAGTAATGAGATTGTGATAGGATTTGACGGAATTCAATTCTTGAATTAATATATATACAGATAAACAAATTTACTCTCTTCCTCCTAGTATAATTTACCATATTGAATGAAAACAGAGTTTTTCTACAAGAGAAGAAAACCATAGCAAAAAATTTGAACGAAAATTGACGCGTAAAGCACACCTTCCATCTCAGTTTAAGAGTTCGTTTTGTTGTTGTATTGATTTAAATTAACAGAGTGATTTTTATTTTTATTTTTTTGGAACGAATTTTTTTGTAAGAAAATCATACTATTAATTTCGTGCTTCTTATAGAGTGGGATAAGGCTAGTGGCTAGTTAGCAGCCTAAAAGAGATTTTTGTCAACTCTGAGGAGGATTCCATTGGCTATTACAATTCCACATTTCCACCGGGTTCGACTGATAAACAACATAAGGTTCCCTAAAAGACATGCACTAATGAAAGAGTTATTTGTGGTTAAAATGTTTGAAAGGAGGGACCATATATACATTTACTATAATAATTCAGGGGACTCTTTACAAAAGGAACTCCCACTTCATGCACTCTCAGCAAAACCGTAAGCAACAATAATTGGCGTCTTTTGTTTTGTTCTTGACGTAGGTTAATTAATAAATTACCCATTGTTTTTCCCCCATCAAGTTAAAATCTTCGCTTTATTAATTGAAAGCATAAGATCCTGTTAGAGAAAAACAAATATAATTCACTATATATGGGGATAGAGATGAACAGATTGTAGTATCGGTGTAATTACAAGTTTGAATTTAGTTTCCTAATACCTCACCAGTAGAGGTCTAGGACTGGTCATCTAAATTAACAGTCTTCTTAGAGGTTTATTATGTACAAAATCGTAAAAGTTCCTCGGAAAAGTGTAAGTGAGATGCATAATATAACTTATAATTTAGTCAAATATAATAGTATAGGTTTTCATAATATATAATATCGTGTGTTTGTAAAAAAAAAAACAAGTTTGAATTTTCACGAAAATATAGAATTTGGACCAGTTTACTTAAAAGTGAATTATTTTTTATCGTGGCTGTAAGATATGGAAGTAATCATGTGGGTGGCTATCTTTGTGGTTGGGCTACCAACGTTGCTCGAAAATGAGAAATATAGGCCCCATTTTACTTTTAGGGTCCAAACAATTATTTAAATCATGTTGTTATAAGTTAATCTTTTTTCTAATTAATGATAAGGATTAAAAAAATTGTCCATGGCATTTCTTCTCAGTTCTCACATGGGCGTCTGCATGGGATAATCCAATTAGTAGTATAATATAATTAAGGTATTCTTAGTCAAAGGACATTTCACTGGCTGTTCTGCACGAAGACAAGCATGCATATGGTTGCTCAGTGGCCCGCTGTATTTAATAAATACACCTTCCGAAAGTTAATTACTCCCTCCAATCCTACCTCGATATAAATCATTTTGATTTGCCTTAAATTTTACCTAATATATTTTTTTAATTGAAAAATTTAATCAAAAAAATATATTAAGTTAAACTTATAACAAATCAAAATGTCTTATAATGAGTAACAGAAGAATGAATAATATGAAACAGTAAATCAGTGGTATGATATAGACTTATACATTATGATATGCATACCTTTGTTATAATTCTTGTCTTATCCCGACTAATATGAAATTGAGATGAGTACATTTTATTTTAATTTTGTTTTCGAGTAGTAGTACATTATTTAAGCAAGTTGCAAGAAAGAAGTAGCGAGGTCGTAGATGGACTAAATATTGTAGTTCTCGTTGATCTTCAAAAACCCATAATTTCTTTTCCCACTTTTCTTTGGTGTTAGGGAACACGAGGCCGCATAATGTGCATGGACTTGTGTATTTTTTTTCAAACGAATACAACTGGAGACAATCTCGTATATTAATTAGTTATTCGCTTGATTTATAGTATATCTTAGTTGGCGATGTAGAAAAATTATCAAATCCTTGCTCTAGGGATCTGATCAAACCAAATTGTCCCAAATTAGTGGTACTGACTACTGACCATACAATCTTAATTAGCACACAAAAACAATAACAAAAAAAAATAATAACCAATAAGGACTACTTAATACAGCAGTTGGGAAGTTTACCGTAACTTTCGTCTCTTCATATTACACAGCTAGCTGTTAACGTGTGAGGATCAAATTACTGCTCCCTCTATTTCAAAATATAAGTCTTTTTAGACTTGACACGTAAACTAAGGAGACAATCATCCAACGATTAATTTATGTGTTAAATATCTTTTTTACCCCTCATCATCCAACAAGACTAAATATCTTTTTTACCCCTCATTAATTACATTGAAACATTTATTGAGGATAAATTTAGAAAAATAGTCATTAATTTGCCTAGAATTTGTAAAACAACCTACATTTTGAAAAATCTCTCCAAACCTAAAACGACTTACATTTTGAAACGGAGGGAGTATAGTTTATATATATAAGCTTAATTAACTGAAGACCATTTAGAGAAACTTTGTACAAACATTCATGAATTTCTAATAACGGTTCTACTTCTAGTATTTGACAATGTAGCTAGTATTGAAATCTTGAAAAATTCTACTCAAAGTTGTTGTAAACTAGTAAAGAAAATTGATGAACTTCTGAAGTTGTGTGTGCATATATATATATATATATGTGTGTGTGTGTGTGTGTGTGTGTGTGTGCGTGTAAGAATACTATACAAAAATATCCTCGATTAAGACGATGAGATAATGATACATGCAAGTTGTTCGATGGAAAAAAGACAAAAGCACTTTGAATTTCACCCTCAAAATTTTTTTTGAAGACATTAACATTTTTCTATAAGCATCCAAATTTTGCTTTTTTATGTGTTGTGCATGCATTGCGGTTCTAACTGGCGCACCATATTTGATGCTCTTGCCTTGGAATGTTCAATTGTTCATCACTTCAATCTTAGATTATTTTAAGTTGGGTTGAAAAAACTTAGAATGACGATTCGTACTGTTTGTTGAGCTGGTATATGAAACACTACGTAGTATTTTTTTTAATTTAAGGACAGAACAAATGCTGATTACTTGAGTTTCCCTAATAGATTAACGTAAAAAGGGTGGTGGAAGTTGATTTAACTTTACAAAATAAAATTTCCCCTAAAAAAAAAAAAAAAAGGCCTTAAGATGGACCTCAATTTTTGCACTTTAGGGTTAGTCCCCACAATTTTGGTTCAAGAGCCCAAGCCCCTTCCTCTGTGGAATGGGCATAGTCTTCCAAAACCAGAGTACACGAGCACATGCGTATGCACACGCACAGAAAACTAATGAAATTATAGGACCACAAAGTACCACTCTATTAAAAGTTGAAAATCTAACACAAAAAGACTAATGTTATTATTTTGCACCGTAAGAGAACTTTGGCGGAAATTGTACTTAAAGCATGCATATTTCAATGGAATTGAATACTCTCTCCACCTTAAAATTAGTTATTGTGTCATAAAATTTTATTAATCACGTTGTCAGTAAAATCATATTTTTTTTACCTTTTCTTTTGATACTATATACTCTTTTAATCCTCAAATTATTGTTCAGTTTGAAATTTCAATCAAAAATAAAATTTCAAATTGAATGATAATTTTGGAATAGGAAGAGTATATGACTTAAAGGTATTATTTATGAATAATACGATATTAATTAATTAATTTGTGCGTTACAATTGGTAGATAGACGGGTCACATAAACAGCCAGGGGATATTTCGAAAACTAATGTAGCACCAAATGAAACTATGAAAGTACACGAATGCTCATTATTAATTACGTCAAGTTAATGAGGCAAATGTAATTAGTTCATTTCCGCTAACCATGATTATAAGGCAAATTCTTGTGTTCAGTTCGTTTAGCCATTGACACGTGCAAGGCATCCACTTTTAAGCAAAGCCCTCTTTTGCTATGTAGTTTTTTCTTTTTCATCTTGGCTTTTGTGAGAGATGGAAGATAGGAATCAGAAAATGAACTTCGTATTCGTCGAAGAAGAAAAGACCCAAAATAGAAAAAAAAAAAAAAAGTTTGGATATAATGAAGAAAGAATCATTTTGGTATATTACGCATTATTTATCTGAAGCGACTCCTCTCAAATCGAATTTGAATAGTTCTCTTTCAAAATAAATGTTTCTTAACATGTAACAAATATTTCAATCATCGATAGAATAATTTTTTTTTTAAAGTAGTAGAGTTATTTTGGAAAGAGCTTTAACCGTATGTGGAAGCAAAGCAACTGACACGGTTGGATATGTAAGCAAAGGTTTCCCAAGCAAACCAAAAGAAATCCAAACATGATCTTATCCACATTACATCATGGAAACTATTTTTCAATATTACAAAACAAAACTTATTACTCCGTATTACTTTGAGAACTCCAATTATGCGTACATATACAGTTTACTGCCAACTGTTTGTTTCTTTGTGAGCTTTGTTTGTTATTGTTTCACTCCTTCCGCTTAAAAAATAATTGTTAAAAACAAAAATCTAAACTGACCATGATTTTGTGACGAAAAGAGTACATAGTTAAGGTTATTAGCTTTTATACAAGTGTTGAAACCGAACTCAATATTTTTTAAGCAATACAAAAACAACACATTCAAAGAACTCATTGGGTCAAAAAATGCTTGGTTTACTAAGAACAAAAAGAATGGCCTCATATTCCATTTTACTTTAAGAAATTCTCTTTCTACCCGTCTTACTAGAACATTTAAAAGTTAGTTACGTACGTGATTGAATCGTTTTAAACGTGTATTCTTATTATTTCATTTTATTGGTTTTTCCTAATAGTGTTCTATCTAATTTGTATCGTTATTCTCATATTTTTCTTCATTTTCGTCTTTATTAGCCATAACAAACTAATCTTTTATAGCATCGTTTGTCCTATGAAATTTCTCCATCTATTTGAATTTATCATTCTCTTGAATGATCAATTCAAATAATATTCAAAAAGTTGTTTGTACCAACACTAAACTAGCATTTCAGTGATACATTTTAAGGTTAAATTTGATGTTATCTTAGAGCTTCTAAGTTGATGTAAAAAGATGCAGATATAGAACCATCCTAACGAACCAACTAAAATGATTGTACTAGAATAATTATTAGTACTATCAACTCTGTACGTAATAATAATACAAATTTGATGCTGGTTACGAAAGCTGGCAAGCATGAGTTTTTCTGAAGGGTCCTACTTAGTAGACACACAATTGCATGGTTCTTAATCAAGGATTTGATGTGTGACTTTGCATGCTTGCAGATGAAGAGACATGATGAACTCACAATTTTCTTAGATTTTTTTCTTAATTGGTTTTATGGTCTGGAAATTGGCCAAAAAAAAAAAAAAAAATTGGTTGAGAAAACACATAAAAGTACAATCCAAGAACAAATGCTCCAAGCCCTACCAGTTAGTCACCATCATTGAGGAGACAGAGATTTAACACTTCCTTTTACAAGACTAAGCTGGCTAAAGAAGGTGTGTTTGGTCTAAATTCTCCTATATCAATCGCAATGACTTCGAATTTATGATCGCATTGTTGATATTTGGTTCAAATGGATGAGATACTATCGTTGTTGATGATGTTTGGTTCAGTTCAACTACAGCAATCGTAAAGAAAACAGAGGAAGCAGAGGAAAATCGCAAAGCGATAGTTCAAACTATATATGTACAACATTGTTACAAGTTAAAGCAACTTTTTACGTATGGATGAAGAGATCCTGCAGGACTAAAGAGAGGTAGATACAATAATGGGGAGTGGAAGAAGAAAAGATATGCAGGCTAACTGATACCCATTGGAGTAGCATAGAAGAGGGAAAATTTGGGGAGGCTCCTCCTTCTGTTTCTTGGCTAAAAAAAATTTCTCTGCAGAATTGAGACAATAGTGGAACTTTTCACAAATGGTGGTTCAACTCATTGCCTTCTTTTATGCTCATTTCTACCCCTTCAACTACATTAAAACCGCCATCATCAGCAGCGATTGTGGAAGCTGAATCAAGTCCAGACCCTGCTTGGATTTCTTTGAACATCGCCATCACTTGAATCATGGTAGGCCGCTTCCAAGGCCGATCGTCTAAGCAAATGCATGCGATCTTCAAGTGTTCTAGAAGTTCAATCTCCAAGTTTGGATCTTCCTTCATCAAGTCTGGATCGAACACATCACTTACTCTCAGCTTCGCGCGCTGCTTTACCCATCCCACAAGATTATTATCGCCAAAATCTGCTGAATCTGTCGGCTGCCTTCCTGTCAGAAGTTCCAGCAAAACCACACCATAGCTGTAAACATCTCCTTTCGTCGAGCATCTAAAGCTCTGGTAGTACTCAGGAGGTACATATCCAGGAGTGCCTGCTAGAGTGCTCACACTCAGATGAGTTTCCATTGCACTCATAAGCCTAGCCATCCCGAAATCAGAAACTCTGGCCTCCAAATTTTCATCCAGCAACACATTGCTAGATTTCATATCCCTGTGAATGATGTGGGGAATGCAATTGTGGTGGAGGAAAGCCAGCCCCCTTGCAGCTCCTATTGCTATTTTCCTCCTTGCAGCCCAATCAAGCTTGACTCCATTTTTCTTCCTATCATGGAGAACATCTTCTAGACTACCATACTTCATGTACTCATAAACTAACAACCGCTCTTCGCCTACCTTGCAGTATCCCAAGAGCGGCACAAGATTCCGATGTTTGATTTTCCCAATGGTTTCCATTTCAGCAGTGAACTCTCTGTCGCCCTGCCCACTAACATGTATCAGTTTTTTGATGGCTACAACACTACCATCCTTCAACTGGGCTCTGTAGACATCACCAAAGCCGCCAGAACCAATAAGGCAGTCATTGTGAAAACCATTTGTGGCTTCAAGAAGATCAGCAAAAGTGAGCTTCCTCAGAGGCTTCTCAAATGCAGCAAGGTTAATGCTCAATGCTTCACGAGCACTTAACTTCCAGTTGCTATTTGCGGTCGCTGAATTAGAATGACCATCCATATAAGCTTCAAGGGCTGCCTCCTTCTTCTTTCTCCTCTTCTTCATTTCTACGGCCACAATAATCAAGCCAAATATGCAGAACAGAGAGAATAACAGCCCCATTGCAACACTTCCTGCAAGCGATGCTGCTCTGCGGTGAGACTTCTGATGTTGATTTGCATTAGCATCCGAAGTCCCACACTTTGGTAGAGGCCACCCACAAAGGCCACTGTTGTTGGCAAACATGCTTTCAGGAAATGTATCAAATGGAGCTGACTCTGGAATGCTCCCAGACAGATTATTATTCGACACATCCATCTCTCCAAGGAATGTAAGGCTGCTTAGTTTTGGAGGAATTGACCCGCTAAGTTTATTATAAGACAGATCAAGAATGGCTAAATTCTTCAAGCCAGCAAGCTCTGAAGGAATAGGCCCTGATAGATAATTATACCCCAAATTCAGAATTTGTAGGTAAAATAAGGTCCCAAGCTCCACCGGAATACTGCCCTCTAAATTATTATGAGATATATCAAGAAAAATCATGGAGCCATTATTGTTGAACGTTTGTTCTGTAATCCCTCTGTACAATCTTGAGAAATTGCAGGGATACCTGGTGGAAATTCTGTCCAACTGCTCCGGGCGGATCCCTCCAAACTCGAGCAAATTCCCAGCTCCATGACACTGCTTCGTTCCATCATTCTTGATGTAACCATACTCCTTCCCGGTGAGCAGCCCAGCGGCGATTTTGCCAGCTTGTTTGGTAAGACCAGGAGGAATGGTTCCATTCAAGAAATTGGAGTTGAGATCCAACCAAAGCAAGCTACGACAATCCCCTAATTCTGCTGGAATGCTGCCAGATAATGAATTGTTTCCAAGTTTCAGAATGGCCAGATTTTCCAACTGACCAAATGAAGCCGGAATCTCACCAGTCAGCTGATTATTCGACAGTGAAATCCAATTCAAGCTCGTACAATTGCTCAAACTTGCAGGGATTGTCCCATTCAAATCATTAAAGTCAAGAATCAAATTCTCCAGATTCTTCAACCGTGTCAACTCTTGTGGGATTTCACCATGGAGTTTATTCAACCAAGCAATCAAATCCTTAAGCTGGCTTAATGATCCTAACCCGGAGGGGATTACTCCAGTCAAGTCATTGAAACTGAGATCAAGGGAAACCAATTTGGAACAATTACTCAGTCCCTCAGGTATTGGACCAGTGAACAGATTATTCTGAAGGTACAACACTTTCAAGCTGTTCCTAGGGTCTTGACAAATCCCAGGAGGAATAATCCCGGACAAATTATTGGAACTCACATCCAAAGTCTCCAAACTCACCAAATTGGTCAATGATTCAGGCAAAGAACCAACAAAATTATTGAAAGAAAAGTGCATATGCTTCAAGTTACTCATGCTCAGAAGTGTATCAACAGGTAACTCACCGGAGAAATTGTTGTTGGAAAGATCAAGAAGCTCCAAAACAGAGCATGAACTGAAGCTCTTAGGCAAATCACCTGACAAATGATTGAATGACAAGTCCAACTCCACCAAGCTTGAACACAAATCAGAGAGAGAAGATGGGAGAGCCCCTTCAAATCCACTCCCCTGCAAGTACAGGAACTGAATCCCACCAGGAAACTTAGGAACTGTGCCAGAGAACTTGTTAATGGTGAGATTGAGAAAACTAAGCTTCCCACATGAAGAAAGAGAACTGCCCACATCACCAGAAAACTTGTTCGAGGACAAATCCAGGTGCTGCAAGCTAGAACAGTCCTTGAATGAAGGAAACCCAGAGGAGAAATTGTTCATGGAAAGATCCAAATATGACAAGTTAGAGAAATCCAGAACAGGAATATCACCAGCCAACTTATTACCCTTCAAAGACAAGTGTTGAAGCTCAGGAAACTGATTGGACAACAACCATGGAATCCCATGTTGACCGGAGAGATTGTTGTAAGAAAGATCAAGAACTTGGAGTGGAAAGTTTGAAACTTTAGTATTAGCACCTTCCTTCACAGACGGGTCCATGGAGTTCTTGGAGAGATTAAGGGACAGAATGCCAGAGCAAACACCAAAGCTGAGGATATCAGAAACAGGGCCGGAAATGCTGTTTTCAGCAAGATCTACAGAGCCAAGAAATCCACCACATTGAGATCTTGACATTGAAAACAGTGAACCACTGAGGTTAGTTCTCTTGAGGACTAAAAACTCCAAACTCTGAAGGGCTACCAAGGAAGAAGAGATTAAGCTGAAGTCTACACTGAGAGGAATACTGGTGAGATCTATGGAGGAAACTCTGTTGTTCTTGCATGAAACACCGGTGAAATTACAGGGGCTGCTGCCAGGCAACCAGTTCTGAAGCTGAAGCTGTGTGGGACCAGGGAGAGAAGCCTTGAAAGATAGAAGCTGCTGTGAATCCTTTATCAAACCATCAATGGAAGAAGAAGAAGAAGAAGAAGAAGAAGAACCTGCTGCTGAAGCTTGTGAACAACAACAAGAACATAGGAAGAAGAAAAGGGCTATGGAAAATACGAACAATTGATGAAGATAACAATAACAGTGACAGAAGCTAGAATGAACTTTCAAAGGTTTGTGATTGATGAAAAGATCACTACTACAATCAGCTTTCGTCTTCATAATTTTCTGTTTTTTTCTCTTTCCCCTGTTTTTTTTTTCAAGTGTGTTTTTTTTTCTTGCTAAGGTTTCAGCTCTTTTGCTTCCATCTGATTGAAGAGAGAGAAAGATGGTCTAGTGTGCGACTGTGTGAGAGAGAGAGAGAAAGTGAGAGGAAGAAGAGAAGAGAAGGAGGGGGCGAATGACTGAATGGAACTTAAGAAAGTGAAGATAGTCAAAAGATGTGGTAAAGGAGGTAAGAAGAGAATATATAGGAGATATTAAAAAATAAAATAATAATAACAAAAGTAAATTAAATTAATATACTATAAACCTTTAGTTATAGTATTTTTTAATAAATCAAAATTAAATAGGGGCTTGGGGAATTGGGAAATGAAGGGCATTGGGTTGTTAGGGGAAGGAGATAGGGAGAGGAGTGGACACAGCTGGTGCTCACATGCCATGTGATTTTGTGACTTGATGTATTCAGACACAAATGCTTATTATATTATTTCTCTATTTGTACTACATTAAACACACTCACCTTACGTAACCCACAGTATATACTACCAATATTTATTTAATTAACAAACAAATAATAATAATACTCCCACTATTATTAGTAACTTCAACTATATTTAGCAATTGGAAAAAGAAAAAAAATTTATTGCATTTTTGGTGTTAACTTGTAGCAGTAGTACTTTTCTTTTCTCCCCAATTTTGTCTAATTGTCTAGTGGCTTGCTCAATGACATGTCTTGGAAAAAAAAAAGGTAAAGAAGGAAGATAAAAAAAAACGTTCATTGTTATCTTAGGCTTTATTAATTTCATAAGTGTCAATTTTCCTAATTGTTTCACGGAAACTACTTGCTATATAAGAGAGTTTTAAGAAACGAGGTCTAAATGAATTATGTTTTTTGTTTTCCTTGAAAAATAAATTTTAAACGACTAAAGATGCAAGTAATGTACGCAATGTGTAAGTATTTCAACTATTTTTTTCTTTGCAATTTCTACGGTATAAAATTAGACATCTACTCACTCAAGAGTCAAGATGTATTCACATTTTTACGTATTTCAACTCGTCCGCGTACTTCTTGTCTTGAATTTAATTTCTTTTGATTATTATTTACTCCTTCCCATAATTATTGTTATGTGTGAGTTTTTATTTTTAGTTCAAATTGTACTATAAGTGAAAATCCAAACGAAGAGAGTATCATGCACTCGACAGAGTTACGTAATTTTCCAAAAGAAAATTAATAGAAAGTCTTAATAATATTAAAACTATAAGTTGTCTAAATGGTGTAAAAAATAAATACTAAAATTATGGTCAATGGGTGAAGAGTTGTACTTAATGAGCTTCTAGTTGTACTCATTACCAAACTCATTGAACAACTATTAATTTAATTGTGTTTGTCTCTCTCATGCATTCTCTCTCTTTCTCTTTTAGGTTTTGGGTGTTCATGAATGGATGGATCTATCTATCACGGTCTACTAGTACTAATAATATCTTAATCTTACTTAGTGGGAGATTCCATTTGCTTTTTAATTAATTTGTCATTACTCTTGATCCGTGTGATTAAACAACTAATTATTTTTTGTGATTAAGACAAACTTAATTATGATTGTTTACGCTTTTTCCTCTTTTTCTTTATTTTATTTTTTCTGTTTTTTGGGTTTTTTGGGCAAGCTTTGTTGTTTCATTTTCTTTTCTTCTCTGTTGTCTATGCTTTAATTTTTTTTTTAGGACGGAAAGTAATAATCCAAAAATTATGTTTACACAAAGACCTATTTAAAGACTTCCAATTTCCAATATCCTACAATATGAGTTCTCCCTAATTTGTCTTTCAGAAAGAACGAAAAAAAAATGAAATTGAAATTTTATTTAGGGACAATGGAAAAGAGTTTTTCTATTTATTATTTTGAAGTAGGATAAAAATGATAGTTTAATAGCAATATTATACCAAAAAGAAAGAAAGAAAAAGATATTTGAATGATAAAATTATTTTTTAAAAATGAATACAAAGTTTTCAAGGTAGTATAACAGTGAAATTTGATTTTGCAAGCGTGCTAACTAAATACCGTGTAGCAGATTTAAGTACCTGAGAAAAACATCTTTGCAATTAGTATCATTTTTTCTCCAAAAATATATATGTATATATATATCTTAAAAACTATCATAGTCATTCAAAACTTGTTCCTTATTTGATTTTTTTCTTTTACTTGGAGCAAATATTGAATTTTAATTTTGTTGCGATTGTTGACAACAAAAATAAAATTAAAATTAAGAGACAAAAAAAAACAAAAGAGTAGTTGTAAACTAGTTGTAGACTAGTAGTAGTAGTAGTAGCAGTAACAATTTCAGGAAATGCGTAATTCAGAAAAGCTGCTAAAAAATCTAATAAAAACGTACTCCTATCATTAAATCCCGTAGCCAGATTCAAGAACGGAACAATTTCACGCACTTTTACATTACGTTTCCCACACGCGAGAGTCTTCCCTGCCAACCAAAAGCGTGGTTTATTGCACTTCATTGTATTATGGTACTTCTTTTTGACTCGGAAATATCCTCTCACCAATAATATGGTACGTCCTCCTGATGCATATAGTGACATAGTCCAAGAAAGGAATGGACCCCACATCTCTGGTCAAATCCTTACCGTTGCTTAGGTTTGACGGGCCAGATTAAATAATGGCTGTACTAGATGGAGCACAAACCAACAAAATGCGATCTATCAGTAAATCTATAGAGCGAAAAAAAAGTTACCGTATTTTTACTGAGTTGGTCCCCTTGAATGAATGACTCTTTTTCATTCATTCTTTGCTGATGAAGTTAAAAAAAACAAACCACAAGCATGCAATAAATTCTTATCTCGTGAATGGAAATGGAGAATATTCATTCATCTGATTTCCCTGCTATTTTATCATGGTCGATTCATATAAAAAAAGAAGTTTTTTTTCTAATTCTTACAAATGCCATATAAATCATAGAGAACTTCATATCATTCATAAATGGTAGAATTCTCCAAGTTGATCTAGTAAATTCTTCTATTTGGTCCTCTCAAAACAAAAGTTTGGTTTTCAAGTTTATTCTAATTCAGCAATTACGACTCTTATTTTCTTAATCTTAAATATCGCCATAATTGTATCTTTCGTAGAGAAGAAACTTATATAATCCCTCCTTCACCACAAAAAACCATTTAGTTATGGAAACAAGTTTTCTTTTGGGATGTAAAGAGTATATAATTTATGGTTTATGAATTTAGAAAATGCATAGAATAAAAAAGGAGATCCAAAAATGTGCAATGGGCAGAGTATTACATAGGCCTTGCTTGGACCAAAAGGCATCGCCTTGTAGCAGAACAAAACTTGTTCGGCCAAGGTTCTGAAAACATTTTTGGGTTTTTTTGGACCACGATATATATTTTAATTTGACATTAATTTCTTTTTTTCCCCGAAAAACACAAGACATATATTGACAAATAATTACAAACTGCAACCAAAAGGTAGAAATGCTTGCACTAGCCCATGATAATTCCTAGTCTCGGATCATCGCCTATGAGAAAAGTTATTCATTAAATAAAAAAATATTGTTTTTTATATACACTCACATCTCCATCTTAAATCACATTTATCATGTGAGCTATAAAAAAAAAAAAAAAGAAAGGTAGAAAAGAAAGTCTTGAAAGTAAAAATACAAAATAAAACTTTTTTCCCTTGAAACAAATTAAAAAGTTGAGAAAAAACTATTATTATGGAATAAGTAATTTTGTTTAATACCATGACAACATGCATAAATTTAACACATTATGTTATATGTAGTACGACAATTCTATTGTATGCAACTCTGCTAATAATGTCATCTTACACTCAAAAAGATCTCAAATTTTCCATGATGATTTCGAAATACTGAGTACTTTTCAAGTATTAACTCTTCTTTATTATTTTTTTGTTAAATAAAGTATTAACTCTCTTTCATTTGTTCGAAATATACATTGAAAAAGACCGGAAAAGTCATTTTCGTTAGCAAACAATTTTTTTTTGTTTTTTTTTACTTTAGACGTGCTCGTGCATGATCGTCACTGACAGAGCTGATTGATGGTGAAAAATAATTGAGATGGTATGGTTAAAAGTAAAAAAAACAGTGATTAAATTAACTGCTCGCTAATTACGGAGTATATAGACTTGAAACTTTGAAAGCAGGAGAAGGGCATTTTCGTCCTTGAACGGTACGGTTTTGTCTCATATGGCTTTCTAAAGATAGGAAATTCGCTCGTGTGAACAGTTCATGTGTTGTTGCTATCATGATTCTTGACTACTCCTTTTTGTTCTATTCATTCATAAAATTAACACACAATTTCATGTTATTATTACAAGCTTTTTTCTCCCGGTAATATTTTGACAAAAAGTTCTCCCAAGAAAAACAAATCAATCATCCTATAATCTAGGCTACCATAGTTATATTAAAAAATTGAATTACTTTTCCTTAATGATAAAAAAAAAATTAATAATTGCTATGGTAGCGAATTCAATTCTTTAATTAAAGACGAGAAAAAGTAATTTTTTATCCTTCAGCTTTAGAATAATATCTTACTAGTCTCGATTGGCAATCCAATATCATCCGAGTCAATAGAATTTAAGCTAAAAATCTTATTAACAATGTTACATGTTCCATAAGAAAGATATTAGTTATTCCATATTAGTCATGGACTGTGTGATATGATACGATGAATGAAAGAGAAGACTGATTCGTTTATCTAAAGGAAACTAAAGCTAACACAACACAACTTTGTTAGTATGAAATTCATGTTTCAGCCAAACACTGAATACTTTGATTCTGTTGGAAACACTTTCATTAAGCAAGGTGACGACCTTTCTAAGAAGTCAATAAAATTTAAGATAACGCCTTATTATAAATTTAAATGTGCAATGGATCAATGCATTTACAATAAGATAATGATAATGTTGATATTTAGCATGATAAAAAAAATGAATTTATATTGTTTGAATTCTTGTAGCTAGACCTCATCTGATGGTTAATTTGCGTAATTGATCATGTGCGGGCCAAAAGTAAAGAAATTCAATAAATGGGGACCGGAAGTGACAAATTCAAAAGGTAAATGATATCCAAATTGCCAGTCCTGTTTTTTAAAAGGATATATCTATAACAAATTAATGAGAATACAAAATTAAAAATATATAAGGGCAATCAAGGTTCTCATTATTTTCTTTTCAAACTTTTTTTTTTCTTTCGAATAAACAACAAATGAGACATTATGCATGGTTGATGTAAGGATTTTTTTGAGAAAAACTGAAATTATAACTATTTCGTAATAGAATAAAATGAAAT